GTGTTTTTGATTTTGGCTATTCTGACAGGAGTAAGATGGTATCTCAGAGCTGTTTTCGATCAGCCCTCTGTCAGATGTGGGGTTGGTGAATATCTTTTCCCAGTCTGTGGGCTGCTGTTTTGTCTTGCTGACTGTCTCCTTTGCCTTACAGAAGCTTCTCAGTTTCAGGAGGTCCTATTTATTAATTGTTGATCTCAGTGTCTGTGCTACTGGTGTAATGTTCAGGAAGTGGTCTCCTGTACCAATTAATTCAAGGGTATTTCCCACTTTATCTTCTAAAAGGTTCAGTGTGGCTGGGTTTATGTTGAGGTCTTTGATCCCTTTTGACTTAAGTTTTGTGCAGGGCGAAAGGTTTGGGTCTATCTGTAGTCTTCTACATGTTTGCATCCAGTTATGGTCCTGGCTCTTTTTATGTCAACTTGACACAAGCTAGAGTCATTTGAGAGGAGGGAACCTCAATTGAGAAGATGCCTCCATAAAAGTAGGCTGTAGGGAAGCCAGTAGGGCATTTTCTTAATTAGTGATTCATAGCAGAGGGCCCAGCTCATTGTGGGTGGTGCCATTCCTGAGCTGGTGGTCCTGGGTCCTATAAGAAAGCCAGCTGAGTAAGTGATGAGGGGTAAGCCAGTAAGCAGCATCCCTCTGCATCAGGTCCTGCCTCCAGGTTCCTGTCCTGTTTGAGTGCCTGTCCTAACTTTCTTTGATGATGATGAACTGTGATGTGGAAGTGTAAGACAAATAAACCCTTTCCTCCCCAACTTGCTTTTGGTCATGGTGTTTCATCACAGCAACAGTAACCCAAACTAAGACAACTATCTAACCTATTTCCTCCTCCCCATAACACTCAGGGTCCATCATGGATGAGGACTCTGTCTTCTGGACATGACAGGATAGCTGCACTCATGAACTCATTACAGCTGTGGTTGCCCATGCAACACCTGGAGAAGGCCAATCCAGTCAATAAGGCAGCATGGATGTATGAGTGGGAGTCAGTTTTCTTTAAGGGTATGGCTCCCGGTAGGTCTACCATCCTTCAGTGGATAGTCTCACACCCATAAGTACATGGTCAAGCACAAATTAAACTCAGCGGGTTAGCCAAGAAATGTAAACAACCTAGATGTCCATCAACTGATGAATGGATAATGAAAATGTGGTACATTTATACAACGGAGTATTATTCAGCTGTTAAGAAAAACAGAGTTATGAAATTTGCAAGTAAACAAACATTCTGAGTGAGATAAATCAAATTCAGAAAGGCAAATGTCATTTTTCTTATTTGTAGATGTTAAT